AGAAACCTGAGACTGAAATGATTCTGATCTGTCTCAACCAGCCAGAATCGGGTCAGAAACCGGGTCAGAGCCGCCTGAGAGGGTCCAGGAGTCAGAAAAAGGCAGATATACGACCTGAGAGGAGGCTGAGTGGGCGTCCGGCGCCGGTGAGCAGCAGCAGCTCAGTGAGCGGCGCCCTCCCTAAGCTGCTCCAAAATAGCCCTAAGCAGCTCTGGGATCAGGCCGGCCGGCGGCCCCCGCTGACCTGGGGCCCCGAGGCTGATCCAGGACCAGCTCCACGGCGCCTCTTCAGATGAGTGGCACCGTGCGCACAGCTAATTAACACTTCAAGGCCCAAAATAAACCAGAAAAAACACGAAATTAACCAGAAAAAACACAAAATAAACCAGAAAGACACAAAATAAACCAGAAAAAAAAACACAAAATTAAGCTAAAAAACAACTTGATAAACTAAAAAAACACTTAAATAAGCCAGAAAGACACAAACTAAAGCAGATAAAACACAAACTAAAGCAGATAAAACACAAAACAAACAAGAAAACAAAAAATAAAGCTGAAACAACTGAGAATAAACAACAACCCTGAGCAGCTCCTCATTAACACTTCAAGGCCTGAACGCTGCTGCATTATGGATCCAATTAGGAAGCAAAACAGCAGCAAGCGGAGCCACATGCTAATCTGCAGCTTTGTCCTCCATCTCTCTTCCATACTGAACCAAACCCAACCCAGACTCAATGCAAGCCAGAAAAACTACTAAATAAACCAGAGAGAACAATTAAATAAACCAGAAAAACACAGAACCAGAAAAACAACTAAATAAACCAGAAAACCTATAAATAAACCAGAAAAACTACTAAAATAAACCAGAAAGACACAAAAATAAAGCAGAAAAACACTAAATAAACAAAAACAAATTGAGTTTGGAGTTCTTGTCTCCGTTTCATTCAGCCGCAAGACATCTGGCTGGAGCCCAAACCTAGAGAACTGCCCTCCTGGACCCTTCTGGACCCCCTGGACCCTCACCCTGCTCCCCCTCCTGGTTCATGAATCCCCCCCAGGTGCCTCCTCCTTCCCTCTA